GCATTTAAAAATTCCAAATATTAAATATTTAATATAGTAACAAATTTTATTTATCTAAATATCAAAACATAAATTAACATACGTTGAGTGATTCCAAAGAACCGAACAACATAAGCATTATAATCGACTTCTGTAATATTTTTGATCTTGTAACAAAAATATATTTAGTTATACTCAGAATATTATAATAATTAGCGAGAATGATTATAAAAAATGATTTACATACTTCGTTAATAAATCCATCAATAATATCAACATGATTATGTAAACTCTTTAGAGCTACAACTTTATCAATATGTTTTGAATAAGCACTATGTACAGTACCAAATCCACCAGTACCAATTTCTTTGAAGTCATTAAAAGAACTATATTCAAAAGATTTAATAAATTTTTGTTCAATAGCAAATTTAAACCAATCTTTTTTATTTGATAACTCTGACATATTTTTTTTTAAAAAAAAATGGTAAAAGAAAAAAAGAAAATTAAATCAAACGATAACAAGCTAGTTATGTTATTAATTAATGTAAATTGTGGTGCGCTGACCATTGTTTAACTTACTATTTTTGATAATACGAACGACACAAATAAATACATACGGCTGTCCCGATGATTAAGTTCTTTTGTTAAACCCCAAATATAGGATTTACTATTTCCTATTGGTCGCACTATGATAATGACCACCTCTGCGTCCAATAAGAACCGGAAAGTGGAAGCAAAATTAGAAGCCCAAATATAGTTTGATATACTCACCTGACCAATAAACAAATAATTTTTCAAATCAGAAGATTTACTGTCACAATCAAAAAATAAAAAAATTTAAAAAAATATATTACATAATGTGATCTTATTTCGTGTGCGAATTCAGTACTAGTAAATCACGTACATACTTCCTTCTTAATGGTACGTATTTGAACTTTACTATTGACTTTTTCGCCAGATTGAGAGGGGCGATGTTTATTCACAATACAGTAATAACGAAAATCTTTGTATACGATATAAAGGTCTACGGAGGTTTACATAAACCCCTCCACTGAATATATCACAAATTTTCCCAGAATAGCGCATTTACACTAATCCGATCATGGTCTATGCAAATTCGCCTTTTCATACGCACTCTTCTTGTCATCAATATGTGTACGTCCTTTGAAACAGATTTTCTCAAATATTAACATATTTTACTAACCATGTGAAAATATGAAACCAACTTATCTAAATTCAATAAATTTTAATTATACAAGTTTTAGAATTTATTGAATTTAGATGAGTTATGACTGCCCAACTTTGTCAAATACTGCAAAGAAAATACAATAAGAAAAAAAAAACCTCAATATTGGGGTTTCAAAATTAGTGATTCGATGTCTAATTTCTGATGAAATAAGTGACGAATTTATTTCAAAATAAGCGACTTGCAAAGTATATTTTATTTTAAGTGTGTGCTTGTTAGTATGTTTACTTTTTATCAACGACTTTATCATCAAAAATAAAAAGTTTACTGATTTTATAATTTTAACATAAATCTTTTTTAAAAAAAAAATCATTTCCAATTATGAGAAAAAAAATAAGAGAACTTGCAAAAAAAATTTTGCAATCTTTTAAGTAATCAGCCAATTGTTGCTCATCCTCAAGTTTTAAGAAAATTTCTTCCTTCTGGATAAATTGGATAAGTAATTCCAGAGGGGTGAATAGAACCACTGCCAACAACCTGTTCTCCCAGTGACATCAACTGACCAATTTTTTTTCCTTTAAAGAATAAAGGAATGCTTTCAGGCAACTTGTAAATAATAATGTACTCTTTTTTGAGTTTCAACATAAAAAGTTTGCGCAAAGTGATATTGCTCTCCACATTGGTCGATATCGAGAGCACAAAAATAGTAATCTTCTAGTTTTTTACCAGTTCTTATGCCATAATTGCCAATTTGTTCATTTGGCGACTTTCGAGACAGTTCGCCCAGTTATAATTGCCCTCAGCCTGTGATGAAGGAGTTTTGCTATTTTTTTTGCACTGCTAGGGTCGTCTGAGTATTTTCTTCGATTAGAGAATGAATTTCCATATTTTTTTTTTTTTTTTTTCACAAAAGCAAATTTCCAAGCCACCTTAGCTTATTATTATACTGATGAAATCATATTACAAGAGAAAGAAATGGTGTGCGCGCTCACAAATCTATTATCAAAATGATTATTTTTGTACATACAACAGCATACGTATAGTGTAATCTTTTTCCTGTTATGTTGATTTGTCCGGTTCTTTTTTTATATAAGGCGTACTGTATTTAAATAATCTAGTAGAAGAAATTTTACATCCGCCATTTTTAGCGTACGTACACTTATTTGCGCCGGTGATGCAAACCCTTTGGCGTTCTAATTAAAAAAAATTCTTGATATATATATATATATCACCGTGCTAAAATTCCAGACCTTGCCCTAACCCTAAAGTTCTAAATTCAACATTTTATTAGTAAAAACCAATAAAAATAGTTTTTTTCCTTCTTTAAGTTTGTATCACCGGCGCAAATAAGAAATTAATGTTTATGCAAGTAATTTGTACTACGTAGTACAGTATGATCTAGCTGTAATATAAAAACTTTACATTGACTTTTTTTTTCAAAGATGGCAACAAGAATTCTTGAAAAACTTTCAAAAGATTATATTGAGCTTCTTGATGATGAGGAAGACTTTAACGTTATCATTAACGTTGGAAGATCTCCAGATGTTAAGGCATTTAAAGCACATTCTGCAATTCTGAGATATCGATCTTTGTACTTTCGTAATGAACTAGAAAAAATTGGCAAAGATAAAAATAATATTAAAATTATTAATTTAGATAATGTTTCTATTCAACAATTTGACAACATTATTAAGTAGGTTATTAAATGTTTATATTTACAATTAATTATGAATTTCAAATTATTTACTCTATTAATTCTTATTTGAAGATATATCTATGGTGGTGTGATTTTATTAGAAAATCTTGATGTATCATTTATTTTTGATCTCATGATTATTTCTTGCGAGTTTCTTCTTGAAGAATTTGTTAAATATCTCGAAACTCATTTAATTGAAACAAAAGCTCATTGGCTTCGTTTACATTTTACCTACATTTATCAGAGAAGTTTCAAAAGTGATACTCTTCAAGAATTACAAAAATGGTGTAATGACATCTTAGTAAAATATCCAAGTCAAATTTTTGAATCTGAAGATTTTTCTTCGCTTCAAGAAAATGCGTTAGTATCACTCATTAGTAGAGACGATTTACAAATGAAAGAAATAAAGATTTGGAATTATGTTATCAAATGGGGAATTGCTCAAGATCCATGCTTACCATCCGATTCTAAAGATTATACTGATGAAAATTTTATAGCATTAAAGACTACTTTACAAAATTGCTTACCTCTTATTAGATACTTTCAAATATCCGGAGATGATATTTATGATCATGTATATCCATATAAACAAATACTTGAAAAAACTCTTTGGAAAGATATAAAGAAACGATTAGCATCTCCAAATAAACCGGTATTATCGAAAATTCTTCCACCTCGCACTACTTTAACACTATCGAAAATTCTTCCACCTCGCACTACTTTAACACCAACATTACCGATACTAAAAGCTGAACCATTTTCAAAGGTAATTAGTGAAGCACATGCAAGTGAAATTGCTTCATGGATTGATAAAAAAGAAGATATATATTCTATTGCAAATAATCCTTACGAATTTCAATTATTTCTTCGTGGAAGCAGAGATGGTTTTACCAGCGATATATTTTGGAATTTATGCAATAAGCAAGCAAATATTGTTGTAGTTACGAAAGTTAAAGATTCTGACGAAATTATTGGTGGATATAATCCTGTTGGTTGGGACAGGCCAGTTGGAATTTCGTATCGTAAGAGTTGCGATGATAGCTTTATTTTTTCATTGAAAAATGGTACCATCCAAAATTCTATTTTAAGTCGTGTAAAAAATCCAAAAGATGCAATTCTCTGTTGTTATACTTATGGTCCATGTTTTTATCATGGTCTTTATATCGGGAATGGTTTTGGTGAGCAATGTGGTTGTTTTTATGATACCAAAAAACCTATATATGATCCAATTAGAAGTACTTCATCTTTTAATGGATATTGGTCATACTTTTCAGTAGAGGAGTATGAAATATTTCAAATTCACAAAAAGGCATAAATTTTCTTGGATTAAAATCCATTCAATTGTTTTTCTTGTTTAATAATAATTCAATAATTTTATTCAAATAGCATATAATCAAAACCAAACATAATCCTAATAAAAATCATGCTAACACTAATAATTGATATGTTTGGTATATAATTCATTATTATTATGAAACGCTTAGGAATTATTACTTTTAGGACTATTGCTAACTTTCGCACTGGGTGATATCACCTCTTTATAAGTAAAACCAATCGGATCGCAGGATCTTGTGTAACGAAAATAAAGAAATGTTTAAGAAAAAAAATTAAAAATCGTCAATATCGCAAATTTTATTATGAAAACTAGCCTTGGGCTATTAAGTAAAAGTTTTCAGCACGTAATTTTGCATATTTATATTCTAACTCTAATTCGAACTCGAACCCTAACCCTAATCTCTAAAATGTTATTTATTTATTAATTAATTATTCTATAATACGAGGTGAAATCAACTAGGGTGAAAATTCACCAGAATTCTTAATTTCAAGGTGGATAGAGGTTATACTGTATGTTTAGAAAAGTGAACGATATTCAAGTCGTTACTAAATCCGATCAATTATCAGAAACTAAATGGTTAAGAATTTTAAACCAACTTAATAAATGTATATAAAGATTTCTTACCTAATACCAAACAAACAATACTATGAAATACACGAATGGGATATCGCCTTGCTGCATCGAGTGGTTGCCAGTTGTTTCCTAGAATCGATTCTATTCTATTATTTCCTTTTCTGCTTATCAACATTCCTCTAATACTTATATTTATCACTTCTACATGATATCCGGCTTGTCTAGCTGGGCTATCCTGCTACCATTTGGTATCCAACTCGTCCAGTCGAGCCACCACATTTACCTGACTGAGTTGTATGCTTAATTGGGTGGGCGGGAGAGATTAACTTGCGTCGAGCTTGCAGCAAAGAAAAAAGATAGAAAACAAAAAATCCATCTTTTATTATATACCATTTTCCCTCACGACCTCATACATACTCAAATGTCATAACGTAATTCCATATCTCAGACTACTTTCTTATACTCTACTAAATTACTATCCACATTTGACGAACGTCATTGATCTGGATACTGATCTCGTGACAAATGACTGCCCCGTGACTTCGTTCACGTAGAATTCCTCATTATCGTTATTTCAATCACCTGTATACCTACCCAAATAATAATATCTTGACAAAGTACTGTAAAAGCGCAGATATTCATTGTTTTTTGATACACCTGATCCTATAAATT